GACAAGCTCCCTGGAAAGCCCATGTCCTGGGCAGAGTTTCCAGATGGAGGAGGGCAGTTGAGGTCTGAGGGCATTATCACCCGGGGAAATGACAGGGCAGAAAAGACCCACAGTGACCATCCAATTATGCCTAATCACATATCCATATATTGGGATTCTGATTCAGACTTTGATATATTTTCATACTGAATTACTTACACATTGCTGCGGAAGACCATAGCCCCCCAAAACTTGAGTGGCTTAACATAACAAGCATTTATTACAGCACACAGCTTCTGAGGGTCAGGAATCTAAAAGCAATTTAGCTGGATGGTTGTAGCTCAGGGTCTCTCATAAGGTTGCTGTCAGGATGTCTGACCTCCTGGTCCATTGGAGAGCATCTTGGAGATGGGCCACCACACGTACTTTATTATTATTATTATTATTTTGCCAAGGTGATGTTGTCATGCATGCTTTATTCAAAGCAAATTTTAGCGGGCAACACTCTTTACCCAGAATTCAAGTTTTCTGACCCTTAATCTAACAGTGTGGGCTGACTAACAGATCCAAATGTAGAATTTGGACTTTGATGTCTAAAAAAATTAAAAGTATTTCCATGTCTTAAGTATTGCAATATGGATATTTTAATTGCTTTGGTGTTAGGAGGAAGAATTTTTTTCCTAAATCTGAAATAATATTTTAAGTACATTCTTGAGCCTAGGGAGTGAACTGCTTACTTCTTGCTTGATCATGGTGGATGTTGACTGGGACCCTCTCTTGCCTTGTGCACTTGGGTGCACCTGCTCCTCAGATCAGCTCTGTCCTCTCATTTAGTTTTTCCAGGAGACAAAGCACAAGCCACCAGCCCATTAAGATAACTTTGGAACCACTTAAGATGGGCTATTTCAAAAGGTACCAAATTCCCTGATCTTATAACTGAACCATTTAACTAGATCATCCTGTAAAGAGAAAGTGCGTTAAAAATACCAGTTAATTACTTTTTTTTAATTCCCAAGGCACAAATAAGTCCTAGTTAACTGTCTTTGCACATTTATATATTTAGACATCAGGATATGACTATATAGCAGTCAAAGAGCCAGCAGGCGCTTAGGTAGAGGACAACCGATTCTAAGTAATGGCCTGGCTGCCACTTGCTGTTGGTAGGTTATATTGAAAGACCCTGGGAAGAAAACCCTAGAAACCAAGGCCTTGTTAGCAATTCTTTTCTGGAGAACACACATGCACCTTCATTAGAAGTGTCAACATTAAGAACTATTAACACCTTGATGTGCCGGGTGAATAGAATCCAAAGGCAGGTTCAATGGACTTGTCAGAAGCAATTAGCATTAAAGAAATCCCAAGGATTAAAAATTTAATAAAATACAATTTGAGGGTGACAAAATGATCATCTTTTTCTCCCTCTCTGCATTTGGACTTTAGAGCTGTCCATATGACAAAGGCCTTGTATGGGGAGGGCCTCTTAAAATCCATTCATATCACATCAGATACATCACATAGAAATGGTTCTTATGGACTAGTCCATAACCTATTTTATTTCTGGAGGGACATTTCATGTGTCTGGAAATCCAACTACCAAGTGGTCCTAAATGTCTGGAACCAAATATATAGTGGATTAATGAAGGAATAAATGGTAAGCCCCAGCCAAAGTAAATTTCACCTACTGATGCATAGAAATTCAAGCCCTTTATCAATAGGAGAGGCTGTTAAGCTCTATCTCAGAGCCCTGGTACCCTTAATTTTTGCATCGGTGAACGAAGATCAGTTATCTGGCTCCTGGATAATCAATATATCAGGATCGGTGAACTAAGAAGAGAAGTTGCTCCCAGAGGTAGGCAGTGACCCTGGTAAAATATGACAGGTGAAGCCCCCCAAAGAGGGAAAAGACAGGACACTGACAGAAAGCAGCCAAAAACTCAAAGATATACTCAGGGTTATAAAGGCAGGAGACAAACCCTAAGTACCCTCTTAGCTTTGGGGGGAATTCGTGCGTTATGGCTCAGTCCAAATTCATTTATTTATTCCTACACTTACAGAACATTTACGTTTCAAACAGCTGCCCAAAGTGAAGAGACTGGTCACTATATTGGGTAAAATCGAAAGTCTTCTAGCCCTACTATTCTGTAATTATTTATTGGGCATTCCGTGAAAAGCCCATACTGGCCATTCTACGTTCTCTGAATCTATTCCCAGGTGCCACTAAATAAAAACCCTTACTTGCATTCGGCTCATTCAGTAAAGAAGGCAGGAGAGCCTAAACTGCTTTAGAAAGATTTTCATCTTGCTGGGTATAATTTGTAAGTGTTGGTTCTTGTCTGGGAGCACAACCCAGTAGAGTGGCACCTTTCCAGGGAGGCAAGAAACAAGACATTAACATATACGTCTGTGAAGGATGTGAAGGAATAAAGGCTGGGTAATATAGCTTCTATCTTGGGATTAGAGGACAGGTACATGTTGGGAGCGTCAGAGCCTCCTGAGAAGCCAGGTGAGAACATCCCAGAACTGCAATCCTCCCAAAGTCGAGGCCTTAGCCATAGTGTTGGTGGAATCAAGAAAGTGGCAGCCTGTGAGTATGGAACCACCAATAGGGGAACCCTCCTTCAATGTCAGGGTGACTCAGGACCACTGCTACACCAGGCAACATAATTTGACCTGCAGAGCTTTGAATCAGTATAAACCAGGGGGTGATGGTATTCTCTTGAAGTGTCGAGATTATTGAATGCACTTTGGGTTTATGAAAGATTTGTTTATGCCTTCCTGGGTCCTCAACAAACGCCAGCCTTCTCCCAGAGTTATAAGTTTTCTAAATTGGAAGAGACTTCAGTGAACTTACTTGTTCAAAAATGATCTGGGCCCCCTAGGTGTGCTCCTTGTTCAGAGTACCTCCATGGGCACACGTGGGTACAGCTTCATTGCCCTCTGCCCGTTAGAGGAGACTACAAGCTGCACGAAGTGATGAGACCAGGGTGGAGACAGTCTGGGACGCCATGGCCGATGGCAGCCATAACACACAACGTAAGGGGAAGCATCCCAACCAACTGAACCAGCCTTTGTTTTCTTCATTTCACAGAAAATGGAGAGTGCCAGTATGGGAGAACTAGGAAATTATTAGAGGACTATGTAGCCCACGTGGAGTATAGAAAACGATCTCCTTTTTTTTTTTTTTTTTTTTTTTTGCAGCTAAGGGCTGGAGGGTTGATGAGGTTTGGGAATGTTTCCTAGTCATCTGTGAAGTTAGAGGCAGAGCCAGACTTGAGCCTTCCTCCCCTGCCCTGGGTCGTGCTGTTTCCTGCTGCCCCACAGTCTGAAACTGTCCATGGTTATTCTCTACACGGGGCAGGAAAGGGGGGCTTCATTTCCTGAGTGAGGGACCTATGACTTAGGCATTAATGACTTGTCTAGGGACACCCATGTGATGGTTATCTAATCTTTTAAAGAATCGTGTTCTAGTTTCAAAGGTGAAGTCAAGAGCTGGTTCTTTCCTTCCAGCTAAGTGAGACCTTACACAGAGAGCGTTGGCACCCTAGATGGGAATAAAAGCAAGTTTTGGTGCTTTTCCCTAAAACCCTAATGCTCTTGCAGAGGAGAGCGAGAGAATGTCAGGATGGGGTTCAGATCTGGCTGGAGCCAGATGGACCCTCATAATCTACATATCCTTACAAATTAATTAAGTGGTAATCTAATGTATGTATGCTTGAATTTTCTCATCTGGAAAACAGGGTCAGTAACAGAACTCATTCCATAAAGGTGTCGAGAGGGTGAAATAAGTTAATACATACAAACGGCTTTAATACAGCGCTTGGCACAGAGTTAAGTGTTAGGTTGTCCAACTTGATATATTTACGTGACATTTGGAGGCCAGGGCAAGGCGTCACTTGGCCAAGAGGAGAGTTAAGAATTATAGCTTTTAGTTTTCTATGCAGGATACGGTCAGCTTTTCCCTTTTCACTATCAGGCAGAAAAGGAGGTGCGGATTAATTGTGAGCCAAGTGCCCAGGGTTTAAACATCTCAGTACAAGGGCCAGAAAGTGAAGAAAGAAGCAGAATCAGCAGCCCTCTATTTGCCACTTGAATTCAAATTCAATTCAAGACAATTGGCTTGAATTTGGCCAATGAATTGAGCCTTTGATGACATTGGACTTTGGTCCAGACCTGATTTGTTCATTTTAGCCACTCTGACTGGCGTGAGGTGGTATCTCAGTGTGGTTTTGATTTGTGTTTCCCTGACTGTTTCTATTTCTCCACCAATTTTCACTTCTCTGTACATCAACGTGACTATCTGTCAAATCTATACTTAGTTCAGTTTAGCAAACATTTGCTGCGAGATGTTGTGTGTTTGGACACATTGCCGTAAGACTTGGTGACTCGGACGAAGGACAGGAGCTGGAAAGACAGCCTTCTTAGCCTCCTCCTCATCCGCTTCCCCTCCATCTATACTCCATCCTTTGTTCTTCTTTAGCAAAACTCTTCAGAAGTCTTCTCTTTACTTCTGCCTCCAATTTCTCCTTCCTTTCTCACTTGAACTTGCCCCATTTATTTTATTTATTTTTTTTGTTGACATTTATTTTTGGGGAGAGTGCAAGTGGGGGAGGGACAGAGAGAGGCGGACAGAGGATCTGAAGCAGGCTCTGAGCTGACAAGCTGACAAGAATGAGCCGGACGTGGGGCTCGAACTCACGAACCGCAAGATCATGAACTGAGTCCAAGTCAGATGCTCAGCCCTCTGAGCCACCCAGGTGTCCTGAACTTGCCCTATTTAAGCTTTCGCCTCCTCCTCTCCACTGAGATGGTTCTTGTCATCCTATTCCAGATCTAATAGCCCATACTCAGTCCCAGTTTATTTAAACGCTCGGCAGCACGGAACACAGTCGATCACTCTTTCTCCCAAAACACTTGGCTTCCAGAGCACCCTACACTCCTGTTTGTCCTCCTGCTGGACTGGCTGCCGCTTCTCAGCTTGGAATTGGATCCTTCAGGGCTCAGTTCCCAGAGCTCTCCTTCTCTGTCTCCTCCTACTCCTTCGGTGGTCCCCTCCAGTCTCAAGTGTATGCTGAAGAACGATTGTAACTCTAGTCGGAACTACCCCCAGTTCAAGATTCACATATTCAACGACCTGCCAGACACCTCCACTTGGATGTTTAATAAGCATTTCAAACATCCCATTGTCCCACTGATCTCCTAATCCCCAAGCCTGCCATTTTTGGTAACTGACACCTCCCTCCCAGTGGCTCGGGTCAAAAACCTTTCGATTTTTTTTCTTCATTCTTCTCTTTCTTTCGTACCCCACATTCATCAGTGATTATGCTTACCTTTGCCTGAAAATTACTTCGAGCACACGAGCTCTTCTTCCCACCTCCACTGCCACCCCCAAGCCATTGCCATCCCTTGCTTAGAATATTGCAGTCGCCTCCTTTTCATCGGTCTCTACTTCCGTCCTTGTGCCTCTTTCATTAGCCCTTGACGTACAAGCCTATTAAAGTCAGATCATGTCACTCCTCGACTCCACCCTCTCCCCCATTATGACTTCCATGCCAGAGTCCAAGCCCAGGTCCTTATGGTGGTCAGCTGAATAATACTCCATGGGATGAACACACCACAGTTTGTTCGTTCACTTGTCTATTGATGGGTGCTTGGATTGTTTCCACCTTTTGGAACGAATGATGCCGCCATAAACATCGGCATGCCCGTATCTGTTGAAGTCCCCGTTTCCAATCCGTGCGGGTATATACCTGGGCATGGAATTGTTGGCTCATACGGTAATTCCACGCTTGACTTTTTGAGGAACTCCCAAACTGTTTTCCACGGCAGCTGCACCCTTGTGCACTCCCACCAACGGTGCACAAGCTTCCCGATTTCTTCACGTCCTTGCCAACACGTGTTATCTTTTGCTTTTTGGAGAGTAACTGCCTCTTGTTTTTCCTTGAGGGAGTCAACCGTCCTCCGGTCTTGGTGCCTTGCTCTTCCTGTTCCTTTTCCTTGGAACATTCTCCCACCAATATGCGTGGCTTGCTCCCCCATCTCCTTCAAGTCTTTGCTCAAAGGCCTTCACTATTAAAATTTCGCCTCCGTTACCAGAGTGCCCTAGCCACTTTCCCCTGCTGTAATGTTTTTTTCCAGGCCCGGAAAGTTACAACTTTCTAACTTACAGGATAATTTACTATTCCTATACTACCTGCCCTCCCCCACGTTTGTCACTGCTCTACCCCAGTGCCGAGAACAGTGCCTGATTCTTAAAGGAACTACTGCAAGAAATAACCGTGAAATTAATGAGTGATGTTAGAGCTGCGTCACCGTAAAGGGCGAGCTGGACTAAGCTAGGCGGAGAGGGAGAGGGGAAGGGAGAGGTTTTCTGTGTTGAGGGAACACATGGGTTGCTATGGATCGGGCCTGCTTAATGTCACGGATGAGGGTCTTCTTGAGGCAGAGACCCCATAGCTGTGGAGCACATCACTGGATTTTCTCTGCTCACTGTCCGTTAACACCTGTTTCCCCTGCAAGCACCGCAATTTGCTTACAGGCTGACGAGCGACCACTAGAGTCTGCTGAGTTATGACGATGTGGATGTCAACAGCCCAGCATCCCCCAGCAGTCGCGTGAGAGGAGAAAGTCTGCCACCTGTGCCTGGATATAGGCGTATACGATTGTCATCTCGACCCTACTGTTGTTACAGTTATTTCAGTACTAAGTGCAGGAACTTCGAGCTCGAGGCTCTTACGTGGTGCTGCTGCCTCCTGCTGCTCCAGAGGGCTGGAAAGTCCCCTCCCCGTCTCGGTCAGCAATGGGATTTGTCCCGGACCACGGTGGTGCCTGCTCCGTGCCGTCCCCGTGCTCTCTCGGGGAACCTAGAGCATCAGAGGAGATGCATGAAATCATGACAATTTGCATCACGGTTGGAGTAAATCGAGGGGTGCTGGCGACGAGTGCTGGGAAGTAGTCCTCCTTTCTCTGACACCCTTCGCTTCCAGCTCCGCCAGGCAGCAGCTGGCTCGGGGACTCGGTCAGACTTCAAGGCAAGTAGAAAAAGAGGAAGAAAGGGAGGCGAGACAGATCTTTCTGGTCTGTTTTCTAAGTCCAAACCCTCCTGGAGGGGCTTTCTGGGCCCTAAAGGTGCTGTGTGGGCTTCTGTAGATGGAGAAGGAACGTTTCCTATGGTGTCCCAAAGGCAGCCCTCTTCTTGGCCCCCCAACTTGCCCCGGGCATCAGAGAACATGGATGGGAGCATAGAAGCAAATCTGAGTGAGTTATTTTGCAGCAACTCACAGCCACCCCTACTTCTGGCCTGACCCATTTTCTCCAACTACAATGTGGCTCTAACAATCCCTGCTCGGCTCTCCATCTTGCCTAGAGGCTACTAGAGTTCATTAGATTAAAAAAAAAAAAAATCTATAAACTACTTTGAGCACCTTGGAGGTAAGTGCTCTATAAGTACAATGTAATAATAATAATGCTACAATAATTACCTTGATTAATTTATGCATAAGACAAAAAAAGATTCTTAATTAAGAGACATTCCAACAGCGTGAACACAGGCCCCATATATTGGAAAGTAATACCACCAGCAGGGATTCTAACTCTGGGCCAGAATGACAAGGATAATGAGCCACTGACCCTCACTCTGAGCGTCCTCCGCATGTTTTGGGTTCTTGGTGACGACTATAGGCTCTGTGGCCAGCAGACTGGAAAGGCAGAAGATGAAAGAGGGGAGTTTGGGTGTTAAAATTACGTAAGACACAAGCTAACTTAACCTCATCGCACTGCAAGTAATTAAAAACCAAAGGTAAGCTAGTCAGTGGCATCAGTAAAATTCATGTTTTTCTTTAGATGTAGTCAAGATTTATGGATCGCCTATTGACTGGCCCTCCCTTCCCTAGATGGCAGCTGACATCTGTCCTGTGACACTCTCTCCTCTTCTAGTGTAACTTTCTGCAGTCTTCAAGGCCCTGTTGGGTGACAGAAGAATTGATTCTAGCTAAAGTGTTAATGGCTAACAACAGCAGTGTTCCCCCTGGGTACTTACTCTGCGTTTGCACTGAAGTTTTCAATGTTTTTATTTGTAGAAACGACTAGACATTATGACCCTCGACTTAGGCTGCTGGGGATAAAAGCGTTAGAGCATGGAGTTCATGGCGTCCTTCGAATTATAGGGCCAAGCCATTTGGCACAGGAGGCCGTTCTACAGGTGGTGTTAGAGGCTGAGAGATAGAATGGGCCTACAGCTTTCTATCAGCAGACCACATTAGCCCGTGGCTCACGCTTGCCCCTCGTGTTTTCACAGCAAGTCTGTGAAATGGATCTTGATTTCAGAACCAGATCTTGATTTCAGAATCAAATCCCCCCCAATATCTGCTCCAGGTCCTGTCTTTGATCTACTGACATCGTTACCTTGTGCTCACTCTCAGCTGGGAACCGTACCACTGCATATGAATTATCCCGGCCAGCATGGAAGCTTATCATGAGACAAGCCCGCCCAGGTATGCCTGGTTTTCTGCAGTGCGGTGTCGTGGAAAGAGCCATCTACAAGTTGCATCTTTGTAACCTGAGTTTTATCTGCACGACTCAGAGAAGACAGCTAAAGGAACCCTTTGGTAATAACCCTCGTGTTCTCATGCCTGTCCAGTCTGGAATAGTTACAAAAAATATATTGTGCTTTAACCTATACCCGCAGTTTTAGGCACAGTCATTCACACGTGCTGTCGAAATTCTCAGGTATGCAGCGAGGATGGAAAAGCACATGAATTAACACGCGGGTGTGCAAGAGCCAGGCACAGAGTCTGCTGGTGTGGAACATACGCCTGGCGGAGAAAGCACCATGGCCTGGGAACCAAGTCACCTGGACTCGTGTCCCACCTCTGACACTGACTGAGCCCTCTCTGGGCCTCTGCCAAATAAAAGGGCAGCACGATCAATTTCTAGGTCTTAGTTCCCATTCTGACATTATAGGACTCTATGCATATCATGTACCCCAAATGGCCCTCACCCACACGAGATGTATGACCCTGCCTGAGGCAGTTTGCACGGAACAGAAATCAGAACCGTAAGCCACAGAGCGGAAGCTCCAATGGTAGGATTTCCAGCGTTATCATTACGGGAAGAATGGGGACAATGTTGAGGACTGAGGGCGAGGTCTGCCAGGTCACAGGTGGTGCTTGATCTACACAAGGTCAAGGTGTTCAGTCTGGGCCCATGGGTACCAGCAAGCCCCCGGCACCCGGCTTGGGCTCCAGGTATAAACTTAGGGGGTCTGTGGGCTCACTGTGGGCTGACTATTTAGTTTTAATGCCCAAAACCAATTTTAAATAAAATAAAGGAACCCCCTAAATATTCTAGATGGGGCTTTCTTTTTTTTAGAGGGACATTTCAAGACTAGTTTCACACAGGTTTAGCCGAAAGGGAAATTAAACTCTACATTTAAATGGGAGATTACGCACAAAGGAATCCATTACTTTCAATATTTCTCAGCAGGAGGGCTCAGAGTTATTTAAATAAGTTTAGATATTAAACCTAAAGTAGCCATTAAAGCAATGTGGATTTGTTTGTCTGTTTTTTTTTTTCCCCCAGAAATCTTTTTTTCCAGCTGACTGAAAAAATCCATTGCTTAACCAATGGAGGATATTTTAATGCATTAAAAAAAAATCCAGGGACTTTTTAATATAGCACTTCCTTCGAATTTTTAAGTAGCATCTTACGGTAAGTGTCATCCTTTGGACAGATTAACCAAAGCGCATTCCCTTCCCCGCCCCCACCCTGGGCAGAACAGCGCTAATATAAACACCGACATTAAACCATATTGGCTATGGAAGAGGCTTTGATTGTCATTGAGATTATTTTAAAAGTTATTTAGGCCCCCCTGTTCCATCTCTGCAAACCACTGAGAAAACGTTGCGCCGGGTTTCTCTTTGCGACATTTCTTTGGGGATTCATAAATATTGATTGTACCGTAAAAAAATTGATGGAATCTTGAAACAGACTGCAGTTGAGGCAGCTGGGGAATTTACTCAATTTTTCTCAATCGCTGCAGTCTATAAAAAGAGGAGATTTTGCAAATTGTTTCTCACCTTGTCTTTTTAGTATTTAATAGCTCTCAATTCTATAGCCTTCTGAACCATGCGCTGGGCATGTTTTCTATCAAAACAGAATCAGGCCTATTCAATGGGAATTAAAAGGTGGGAGCTGGTTATGAGTGGGTTAAACTCTGCCCTGTCCTCCACCTTCTCTCTTCCTCCCCTCCTGGCACCTTCTCTCAGTTTTCTGTGTCCTGCTGCTTTGGTCATAGCCCTGCACCTATCCCACAGATGCCCACATTGTGCCTTGGATTATCCCTTCTCCTCCTGTCCCAGGGCCATGATGGAAATGAAGTCAAAGAAGCGAATGTCAGAGGCTCGCTGTGGTCCTGCCTTTCACCACACTTGGTATCTATTAAACCACACTTCTAGCAAGATAACCCTGCTCTCTCTTTATACAGCAAAACTCTTCACCATCCTGGCATCCTGCCCTCCATCTGGCTCCAAACTACCTCTTTAATCTTATTCTCACCACTGTCCTTCTGGAACCCTAGTGTCTTTGGTCCCCTTGTTGTCTGTCCCTCAAAACAACTACTACAGGCTTATACTTTTCCATCATTCCTGGAATGTTCTCCTTACCTTCCTTCTGTGGCGGGCAGAATAATGTCATCCCGACCCTCTGCCCCCATGTCTACGTTCTAATTCCCAGAACCTGTGAATCTGTTAAGTTATGTGGTAAAGGGAAACTAAGCTTGCTAATCAGCTGACCTTAAGATAGAGGGATTATCCTGCATTATCCCTTGGGGCCCCGTGTAATCACACGGATCTTTAAAAGTGGCAGGGGGAATTGGAAGGAGGCATCCGAGAGACGGCAGCGTGAGAAAGAGCCCCAACATGGCTGGCTTTGGAGGATGGGGCCATGAGCCAAGGAAGGCAGGTGGCCTTTATAAGCTAGAAAGGACGCCATAAAAGGCAAGGAAACAGAGTCTCCCATGGAACCTCTAGAAAGAACTGGTCCTGGAAACACCTTGATTTTACCCAGGGAGACCTGTGCTGAAATTCTGACCTGCAGAACTGAAAGATAATATATTCGTGCTGTTTGAAGCCACTAAGTTTGTGGTAATCACCCTTAACCACACCTGCCAAGTCCATTTAGCCACATAGGGTAACATTCCCAGGTTCCGGGGACTAGGGTGATTCTAATCTTTGGGGGTGATTATCCAGCCTGCCACACTGGATAACAAGAGGTGGCTCTGCCAGCTCCTGGACGAGAACCTAAGGATAGGGAGGGGATAAGCCCAGTCAATTGACATTGAAATTATTGTTGGGTTCAATGTTGGGATTTCTCATAGGAGGCATAGGACATGGCATTGATCTCATTGATCTTGAATTAATCATCCATGGAAGCAAGTAGAAACCCCTTTTGTCTTAGCCATTGAATTATTTTTTCTCTTGTTACACTTTGCCATCTGAGGTCCAGTGACTTGTCCAAGATTCTACACGGCCGGTGAATTTATAAATCACACGTGGCACCTGAATCGGCCTGAGATGATACCCTCCTTGGAGGTATCTGCAGGCTCAGATGCTCTAAATGAGGGGAGCCAGTCCTTGGTGACAATCCCCTCTCTACTCCACAAGACACAAAGCATGAAAACATCAAAGCATCATGTATCAAATGTATATTATGTGAGGAGCCCTGGGCTGGAGCCCCTGCCCTCAAGGAGCTTCCAGGCTGATAAGTAGTTGGGAGCTGTCCACGGAGGGTTTCAATACCAACCATACGATATTAAGTAGTCTGAAAGTGTTGAGGAGAGAGGGCATCCATGCGGGATGTGGATGGTCTCATGGTGGTGGTAGGGCTGGTAAGGGAAATAATGGGTAGCTAGAAAGGGGTGGAGTGGCTTGGAAGGATACCCCCGGCAGAAAGAGCAGAATAATAAGCAAAGAAGCAGAGTAGAAAATCTCATGCCTATGAGGGAAGCCATGAGAAGAAGTGCAGTCCAGGGATAAGAAGGTAGGGTTTCAGGTTTCTGGATTTTCCTTAATCATGGCCACCAAGACCTAGCTCAGGTGTGGTGGCCTGTTTACTTACTTACTTATTTATTTATTTATTTATTTGAAGTTTATTTATTTATTTTGAGAGCGAGGGAAAGCAGGGAAGGGGCAGAGAAAGAGGGAGAAAGAGAGAGTCGACACAGGGCTCGAACTCAAGAACTGTGAGATCGTGACCTCAACGAAAATGAACGGTTGGACACTTAACCTACTGAGCCGCTCGGGCACGTGGGGGTTTATTTCTGAAACCAGCTCTTCTCCTAGGCCCCTGACACTCAGTCTCCAACTCGACTGACATAGCTCTGTTACCTCTAAGGCATTCCTGGACTAATGCCACCCCCGTGAGCTCCGGGGAAAGCTGGCCAGGACAGAGGACAGATTCCAGACCCACCCTTATCTGGGCCTCGGCATCTGGCAGGATCCAGGAGGGCATCATGACAGGGATGAAGGAGACGAGGCCTCACCCCATCTGTCCTGCAGAGCTGGTGCAACAGGGAGTTTGGGTTATGAGTTGACCTGAGAGAGAAACAGACCATGAGATGGAGTCCCCCAGATTTCCCCCCAAAGCTCCGCTGGTTTCTGTGGTCCCCGCCAGTGGCCTTTCATTGATGCAAACCCCCGTTCCCAGACTCCCCTCGCTTCAAAATCGGCTCACCTCCAAATTTCCTTCCTATCCAGAAGCTCAGCCCCTCCGGAGTCCGCTTCTCCACAGACCTCCACCGCCTTCAGAGGAGAGTGATTTCCCTGCTTCTCTGGCCCGTCTACTTGTTCTTGGTGGGGATGCTGGCCTGCCTCAAGCTACTGTATCCCGCCAGGAAGCAGACACCTCTCCATCTTCGCTTCTGAAGGATATATGCTTCGTAGGAATTTTCTGTTGGCAGCTGTTTTCTTCAGGCCCTTGGATACATTATCCCCTGTCTTCTGGCCTCCGAGATTTCTGTCGAGAAGTTGGCTCTAAGTCAGCTATGAGTCCTACTCCTGCTCTTCGAAGATAATGTTTCTCTTTTTTTTCCTCTCGCTGCTTTAAAGCTTTCCTCTGCTCTCGTACTCTAGTTGCAGTGAAGTTAATTTTGTCACCATGTCCCAAATGGCCTCCGTGCCCTTCTCTGTATTCCCCATCCTTTTGTCTTTCCATGCTGTGTCCTGACCCGCCACCGGGCCGTCATGCCTCACCTGGTTCACTGTCTCGTGGCCCCTCAGGTGGATGCCAGCTAGTTAATCCCCTGCGCCACTCTTTCTGCCTCACGGCTTGCTCGCCTCTCTCCTGTTCCTCCACCCACTGGGCCTCGAGGGCATTGTCACACCAAATCTGACCATGTCGCTCCTGAGCTTAACATATCAAGTGATTTCCCATTTCTTATGGGCAGGTGACCTCCCCTCCCCGCCCCACACCGGCTTCTTAACAGGAGACTTGGGCCTTTGCACATCTCCAGGCTGATTTCATGTTATTTTCTGCCCTTAACCTTGTGCTCTAAGAACCCTGATCGGTTTCAAATTCTCCCATGCCCCTGAACACACACACACACACACACACACACACACACACACACCTCTCCAAATTGCTCCTCCACCTAATGCCTCTGTTAATGCTGCTCCTTCTATCCGGAAAGCTCTTCTGTCCCCTTTTGTCTAATGAAGCCACATTGAATCTTTGGGCCGTAGTCATTATCCATATCTCTGCCTCTTCCCCAGACCCCCCCACCTGCTGCTGCTCCCATAATACACTTTGCATATTGCTATCACTGCACTGACCACAAACAACCGAGTTCATCTTCCTCTCTAGATTGCAAGTTTCTTGAGCAACCGTGTCTTGTTAATCTTTAGATCCCCGGCGCCCAACACCTTGCCTGAGACAGAGAAGGTAACCCAGTGAATGTTTGAATGATTGACAAATTATTACATAAAATTTGTATGAAAATTCCCTAAGTTTTCACATCCTTGCACGAATCAATAATGTTAGCCCTATTCTAGGTGTGGAAGGCTATAGACCAAGGTCCTCATCTCCAACAGCACAGAAAATAAAGGTGAAGGTCCAAAGATCTCTGAGGCAGTAAATCTCTCTGACCCGACCTGCACTGACTGACTTCACTCTTCTCCCTCTTAACTCTTGCAATCGGTCCTTAACACATGATCTAGGCTTTGATAATCTGCTGCCTTCTACTCTCTAATGAGAATGCAGGTGGAAAAACCAATGGACTGAGTGTTCGCTATTACCTTTTCTATCCGTTCAGTTCAACACTGTGGTCGTATGAATTGATGGTGTAGAAATTAGTCGCTAGACAAGTCTGTTTGACTAAATATCACTGCCCAGATGGTGGTCTCCATGGGGCGGAGCCTGAGACGTTGCCACAACACCTCCCTGGGGAGGGACTCGGGTTGGGGATTGACAGGATGCAGCCAATGGGAAAAAGTGGTGTCCACAGCGATAGGCCAGCCTGCACCAGGACAGCCCAGCCGGAGGTGTGGAGGCTCGGATCTGGCTTGCAAAGGAATTAAACAAGAGACGTGGTGGCCGCCATGTTGGCAAATGGCAGCCCCTAAATGCTTAGCCAGAGTGGGGCTGACGGGACCAAAGCAGGGCCCGAGGGCTAGACAAGCTGGGGTTTGGCCAGTTATCAGGACTGAGACTCAGGAGAACAAGCAGGGGTCCCAGTTACCGAAACTGGGGCCCAAAGTGGGACACAGCCTCAGGAAGAAGGTGTCATCCAGCATCAGAAGTCTTTCAGGGACTGGCAGCCAAGCTAACCTGGACCAGGGGCGTCTGGACTCCTTAGTCAATACATTTATCACTGAGGACAGCCCGGCTTGAGGTTGAGCGGGTGTGGCAGGAGAGGGAGGGGTTTTGCCAAGTGGCCCAGCTGGAAGATATGGCTGCGCTGGGCAGACACTGACCACAGCGGGCCAAAAGGGCAGCAGGTAGCGAAAGCTGATGAGGACCCAGGAAAGAAAGAGATGGGGCAAGGCCGGAAGCCCACAATACGAAGTCAAGAT